GCCCTGTGGACTCACCTGGCTGGGAGGCACAGAGCTGGAGGGCTGAGTGTGGATGTGGCTCAGGACTGTGCCGTGACGGAGTCGGGAGTCCACCAGGCCCCCCAGGGGGGGTTCCTTCCCTGGGATGCTGTTGTAGTAGTCGTGCTCAGCTGCCTCCTCGTCCTCCCCCCAGGCTGACTCCTCTGCACCCAGTGTCCTGCAGCAGGGATGGGAGAACTGGGAATGCCCTGCCTGGCTCAGATCCTCCCTACACCCAGCACTGATGGGGCTCCCGGAGCCACCCCCAGCCCGGGGATGTGTTCCAGAGCAGGGGCTGCACTGGGGCCCCCACCCCTTACCTGTCTGGGGGTACCACCACCTTGGGGGGGCTGTGCAGGTACTGCTTGAAGCGCAGCTCAAAGGCCTGTCCCACCGTGCTGATGACACTCTGTGCCAGCCCCTCGCAGCACTCCAGGATGTGACAGGCTGTGGACAGACAGAGAGCTTGAGTGTTTCCCCACACTCCCATCGCCCCTCCAGGACCACCCTGAGCCTCCCCTCATACTCCCCATGAGGGATCTCCTCCTCCAGCCTTCACCCCCCAGTGCATCCCTTCTCCTCCTCCTCCACAGAGCTCCCAGGCACAGGTGCCAGCATCACCTCTCTGGTTGATGGGGTCCTTGGCAACGTAGGCGACGTAGTCCGTGGTGTCCTGGGGGCACAAGGGGAGCTCAGGGCCCACGTCCTGCTGCCATGTGGGGAGCAGGGCTGGGGGCTCCAGGGCAAGTGGACAGCTTGGCCCCAGCCCCATATTCTGACCCACAGGATGGTCAGCCCCTGTCCCCACCGCAGGGAAGGGTTGGGGGTCTGTGCCTCACCATGTCCCCACCGGAGGCGAAGGAGATGGACTGCATGTGGTGGTTGGCTATGATCTGTGTGGGGGACATGGCCCGGGAGGACATTAGCCCGGGACTGCCAGCCCCCAGCTCGCAGGCTGGCAGGACTGTGTGCCCAGGACACTCTCACCTGGCGCGTAGTGGGGATCATGAGGTTCAGCCCATCGACAGAGATGTTGACAGCGATGCTCATGCCAGCAAAGCGCAGGTTGCTCTTGCCCAGGATGGAGAACAGAGCTTTGTTGGGAGCCTGACAGGGGAGAGGACAATTGGTGACAATGCAGCCCACCGAGACCAGTTTTCCTGGGGTGCACAAGGCAAGGAGGGTACCCTGAGAAACATCAGCCTGCAAACTGGGCAGGTACCCCCAGTGCCCTGTCCCGGTGCCTTAGCTTGCCTGAGGGAGGGACAGGCTGAGTGGAAACTCACCTTCTTCTTCCAAATGCCCTTCACACCCGGCACTGCCTCGTACAGTCTGTTGATGGCCTCTCTGCAATGACAACCCCTGGGTGGTCACTGCTCCAGCCCTCGGCCCTTCCCAGCTGCCTCCCCTGCCCCGAGCTCTGTGAGGCCTGGGGACATCAGCCCCTGCAGCCCCAGGCACTGCAGCCTCCCTGCAGCACTGCCCCACGTCACGGCCCAGGGTACGTAATCCCAGCCAGGGCCACCTCCCTTCTCCTCTTTCCACCCATTGATCCACGGCAGTGCCCTTCGTCCGTGTCCCTGCTGCAGGGTGGGTCCTGTGGGACACAGCTCCCCCAGACCCATCGTCCCTCTCTCCACAGGGCCCTGGGGAGGGGGCTCAGGGCTGCCAGGGGCTTCAGGTGGCACTGGGGGGTTGGGAGACTGTGGGGCTGTACCTGGTGACCTGTGTCCGGGTGTTGAAGTCGAGGGACCTCATGGAGCGCAGCACCTCGATGCACCCCATGTACTGCGGGGCGACACGGCCAGGACAGCCACCGGCCCAGGGCAGGGCATGGAGGGCAGAGGAGAGGTGGGTGTCAGTGAAGGGCCCTCCCACACCAGCTCCAGGGATCATGCCCTTTCGCCC